ATTAGTGAATTTCACCTCATCTGGCTCGGAAGGAGAAATTTTAACAGAAGTGAGTGAACAGAGCTGAGCATTCAATGAAAATTATACTCAGAGACTTGCTTTGATATTACAGCCGCATGTTACTCTTTTGGCTTATATGCTTATACGTTTATATGCAATCATATTTATTCATATGAATATCATTTTGCGAATTTTTATGAATGCTTGCAAAACTGATAAGACTCTAATTAATTAATTAAATCTAAGTAATTTTAATAATATTATATATAGTCAATTTGGGAATTTAATGATTTTATTTAGTTTTTACATAATATACTTTCCTAATAGAGATTAAATTTATTACAATATATGTATATTTAATTACTTCGTTTGCGCACTCACCTTTTTGCACTTTGACGAAAAATAATACGGCGTATAAAAAAGGGAACACGGGCGGAAACTTGCGGACGTCTGATCGGGGCGATTCGCTGATGAGAAAAAAAAGTTTCTGGTCTATTGTTACTCCCTTTTGAGTGTTGGGTAGTGTAGAGTTGGGTAGTGTAGGGATGTGATGTGTATGTGTGGGTGGTCTGTGTGGTGTGATATCTGCGTGGTGTGATGTCTGCAGGGGTGGCGTGTGTTAATGGGTGGAGTCTTCTTGTGAATCGTGTTGATGTGGTGTGTTGGCGCTCAGTGGCGCGTATGGAGGGGGGAGGCGTAACTCATCTAGCCAGTATATGTACATATGTACATCTTTTATCATATTAATCTTATATATAATCATATGTATATCTGCACAAGCGCATTTGAATGTACGGATTCAGAAATTCAAATCATAATTTTATCATATATCAATACAATATATGTGCGCGCATTGATATATATGTATGTAGACATAAAATTGCCGAACAAATAATGCATACACAAACCAACATACATACATATGTATATGCGTACACATGTAAATATGTCACCTGCAAAAACTACAGACATTGTTTTACAAAAACAACAATCGTCACAAGTCAATATGTCAACCAAATAGGCGAAGCCCAAATTTATAGTAAATTGCACAACAACAACATTTTCATTCATGAACGCAGGCGTACTTTTAACAAGCAACCTCGCTTCATTCATAAAAACAGATACCCTCACATCCCCCCGAGCATGCTTTTGCCGACAAGCGTCTTTTCACGACGATGGCAAAAGCTAAAAATCATAAATTGAACAAATTTCTGATATTCCCTCTAGAAGTGAAAAGTGACAACCCCCCAAATATGAGTATTAAAATGTTTTAGAATAAAAGTGACAACATAGTATATTTGTCGATTTACAATTCAAGAAACTTTTTAAAGAAAATATTCAATATTCCTCTGATTTATGTATACAGTAAGCCCCGGTTAAGTATCACTCCTCCAATCCCTCTTATCTGCCTGTGTCTTGCTGCATCTCACGTTTTTTTTTTCTTAATTTTTAAAGGAAAACGGTAACTTTTTTTAAATACTTAGAAATTATTTTTTTGGTACCAGTCTTTTAAGTACCACAATCGCTTATGTACTACAAAGCACAAAAAATCTCCATCTTTGGTTTTGGCACTTAACCGGGTTTGACTGTATTTGTCAAAGAATGTGCGTATGTAAATATGCGAATTTTTTGTACACACATCTGCCCGTATATATGCACATGACTTGTTGACTTTGCTTCCATTTACGCATGCCACGTTGTATATGAATAAGGGTTGATTTTGATCTTGTCATATGCGATGTACGTTTGTAAAAGTGTGTATGGTTCTGTTGGTCAAAGTTATGTAAGTTTTCTTTTGGCATATTTGCATATGCACGAAATTGTATTCCTTCTAAAGTAAAGACAACTTTATTGTTTTAAAATAAAATATGTAACTTTTATTACTTATATTTTTCTTAAAACTAACAATTAAAGGTTTTTTATAAAATTTAAATAAAAATTAAATACAATTTTAAAATATAAAAACTGATTTACGAAATTTTCCATTTAAAATGGAAATTTCTCACACGACTTACTAATTAAATTAAGTCAATTAATTTCACCTGCTTTTTTAAACACAATTTAATCCATCTTGATTAAGTGCAATATTAATGTTTAAAAAAGCTAGGCTCAGTTGCAACAGTAATAAAAAAGAAAAATGAAAAAAAACCTGGAAATATAAAATAAAACTGAAATTAGAAGAAAAGCTGAAAATATAAAGGAGCTGAAAATAAAAAAAGAACCTGTAAATAGAATAAATAGCAAAACATTGAAAAAACGTAAATATTCTTTTCATTTGGTTAATTCATTACTCACCCGAAAGTAGGATGTTCGTTAATGAATAGGCCCTGACTTGCAACTGACTTAAGTTTTTTTATTTTATCATCGCGCTTCCGATGTCGTTCCCTATTTATTTCTTCTTTCACCAACCATTTTGAATTTTTAAACAGAAGAACGGTCACTAAATATTCTAAAAGTTTGGTTTTATGAGCATAACACCCATCGGACTTATTAAACCATTCAGGAAAAACCTTTTCGGTTCTTTGTTGTATAGCAGACAACATCAGACAACGAACATTAGAATAATGAGCATATTCGTTGAAGAGCTTGACGTACCACATCATTTGCAGTCGACACACTTCGAAGACCCTATCACTAGGATTGACCAGCCTTAAATCACCGTCATCCTTATAGTTTTTTGCTCTGATTAGGGCCTCCGAGTAGAGCGTTAAATCGCTCTGTGTCTTTGTCATTGCCTCAGTACATTTATCGCAATGAATTTTACACAAAATTTTCTGGTAAATACCATAGCCTGTGTAATACCGCTTGACTTTGACGTCAGCTTCGTCGTCCTCTTCAACGAAATTTTCGTCTGGAATAACAAAATTTTCCAAACCGAGTTGCTTATATTCCTGATCGCTTTCCTGCACATCTAAATGACGATCTTCGGGGCCTAGGTTCCAATCTAAATTTACATCGTCATCATCCTCACAATTAGTTCCCTTATTTTCGAAGTTCTGCCTTAAAATTTTCATCGATATTAATCGTCCTACTATATATTGAATTTCATGGGCAGTGGGATGGGTATTCATACCCAGACACAAGTTGGACCTTCCCGGAATCATTTCTTAAAAGCGGATATTTTAATGGATTTTTTGATGCAAAATTTTTGCAGTCTAAATCATCGAAGAGATCGTTCATTCTCTTCACAAATAACTGCGTAGGCTTGACACATTTTTTTAAATATTCGTTAGAGCCGAATAGATTTTGGCTATAGGCCATTTCTATGCCAGCCGCGACCGAATTACTCAGAACTTGAGTTGCACGTTTTACAGATATTTTTTCAAAGGCGCTGGGATGTATGTGGGACTCTGTTAGTTTTGGACAAATCTTAAAATGTGTATTGCTCTGATCGATAGAGTATAGTTTTTTAATAATATTGAAACTGACTATTCCATCGAGACTTGAAATATCATATTTCATTAACGTATTGCGGACAGGCTTAAATAGGTGGCAATAATCATATAAGTAATACACTTTAGAACTTTCGTGCATGTAAAAGGGGTTTTCTTCAGTAATTTGCATTAAATTGTAAATTGAAGAGTTTGGTTCCCCCTGATCGCAGACTAAAGCCTTTACGCTAAGGCCAATCGACTTCAGTGCTGTGATATTTTTATTCAAAATTTCATATAAATTTTGACTTAGAAGTCCACCTTTGGAAATATAGTAAGAAAACACATATTTCCAACTTGAACTCAACCCTTTTACCATAAAAAAACAACATTTACTACCAATTTTCATTTCGCGATGGCCTTCCCCGTAATCTACAAATCCATCAATGATATCTCTAACTCGATTATAAGTTAGATCGGACTTTATGATGATTTCATCAAATAAGAGAACGCAATTACGTTCTAGAACGTACATATTTTTGGCAATTTTGCCTAAATTTCCCAAGACATTGGCATCGACGCCAGGGACAACATACCTAATGGGGCGCCATCTCAAAAGAGAGCTCTTGCTTGGTAAAGCGAAACCTAAATCATCACGCATGAAACTGTAAGATTTGGTGGACATATAGTTAATATTTTGTGCCAATGTCTTTTCATTGTCACTAAAGAAAGTGCGTTTTGTGACGATCATCCTAGTGAATGTTACAGTATCAGAGCTTGAAGTTTCATCCGCAACTATTGCACGATCTTTAAGTTCTTTATACTCTGTTTCTAACTGTTTTATAACCCCCTCTAACTCTTCGATCTTTTTATTAAGTTTGAACGCATTACTTTGATAAAACCGTGCGGCTGTCTAATGCAGAGCCTACGTCGTTATTTTGTGTCCCTAATCCTAATCTTTCTTCTTCTAAAATGGAATATTCTTCGAATTCCCTCAAGGTTATATCGTCCTCCCTATCTCCTACAGCTACCTTAGGACGTTCATAAGTGTTAGTGACGGGCGGGCACACCCAATCAGAGTCATTACTAGAAGAGCTACGATTTAGTTCTGACTCTAATCTGAAACATAGAATAGCCCCAGGCAAAAGTTTGAATCTAGAGACGTACTCTGGGTCTAAATGGTTACAACAGATAAATAGGGTATCGGAAGGCGACACGACTATGTTGCAAGCCTCTGCCCAACTTTGACGAACATCGTCCTTTTTAGGGAACTCAAACAGCGTCGCCTACCTTGAAACGCAGCTGCTAATGTAGCATCTTTTTCGGGGCAGTGGACCCGTCCACAAATGCCTAGGTGCTTCGTCGTAACCTAATTACATAAAAAATTTATATTCAACGCCTGTTCATGTTGTAAGTATAAACGTATATAATTACATTAAAATATAAATATTATAACATATTATTATTGCATTTATTTTATATAATTTTAGCTGACTCGAACTAAAATATATCAGTAAAACTATCAAGAAAGGAAGAGTTAATTTCGGATGTAACCGAACATTTTATACTCTCGCAAAGTATACCATACTCGTTTTAGATTTCACCCATTTTCATTTATGTATTGTATATATAACCCTATATACAGCAGTTTTAAAAAACTATGGATACTTCACTAAATATTAATGTAACACCAATAATAAATAATATTGTTTTACCATCATCGCACATTACTGTATATACTTATATTAGAAGTGTCAGCAAATATACTAATGTTTATATATGTACATATGTTAATATATACTCTCAATATACATACATGCCTACATACACATACAACTGTATGGATGTAATATATATAGTTTTTGTAATCCTAATAAAGTTAAACAAGTGTATATTTATATAAACTACTCTATATAATTTTATATTATTGAAAAAGAAGAACTTACCAAGGTTGAGGGTGGGCACAGCATGTGCCTTCAATTTTCTCACGCCCACTGCACTTCGCTCGAAGTGTTTAATGCAAACGAATGCATTGTGGGCGGGTAAATCCAGCGGTGGTGGAATTTTGAGGTTTTACACCCACTTTTGGAGGTCCTCCTCGTGTTTGGGAAACGAAAGCAATCTTTTCGATTCTTCAATACACTCGCGAACGCGACACTTCCTTCTCACTGACATTTTCAATTTATATAATTAATAAAAATAGTAAACCCACAACGGAAAAACGGAACGAATTGATCTACTCGCGTCGAAAATCTTTTAAAACTAAAATTCCGTTGACTAAAATTCCGTTGACCCTTCCTCCTTTTCATTCATTTTGGCGTAATTTCCCCACTAAAACATATATTAACTACAATTAGAAAAAAATCTAACTACTTGCGTTTTGGCGCAATTTCTCCACTAATAATTATATATAATATACAAGTACTTTTCCAATCAAAAACCACCTGCATATATTGTAAATACACATGTATTAACTTCTGTGGTTCGTTTTGGCGGGATTTCCCCACTAAAACATATATTAGAAAGAGTTAGAAAAAAGCACTTGCATATATGGTAATACATATATATATATATATATATTATATTAGCTTTTCCCTTCATTGGCTGTCTCTCACATATATTTTTCATTTATTAGCATTATTTTTCTCATTTAACATTTAAAATGCTCAATTCTGCTCTCTACAGGGCTAAAATTCTAGTGAAATCAGCTTATAATTTGTTTGTGGTGAAATGCACTAATGTTGGCGAGTAACCCTCCGTCAAGAAGAACATTTTGACAATCGGCACACCATGAACCTTCTCTATGATATACGTTCACTGGAACTACCACTAACAGTGTTACCAGGTTCTCTCAACTAGATCCCTCTAGATTGCCACTCAAAATCCCCTAGATCAGAAAAAATCCCCTAACTTAAATAAATTTAAAATTATTATTGAATCAAGAATCTTACTACAAAAAAACATTTAATTCAATATAAAATATTTATTTATTTTACTATAAATAAAAATACATGAGAATATAATAAATAAAATTTACTTTTAAAAGAAAATATAATAGAAGCCGCTTTTGACGTCTGATAATCATATCAGAACCTCAGTAGATGGGTACTGCCTTTTTGTAGACATTCGTTGTAAATAAATTAATACATTTTTTATTGACATTTTCAGTCTATTCATAATTAAAACTTGCAGTTTGTTAATCTTTTTTTTTATTTAGCTGCGGAAGTTGTTTATGTAAAACTGCAAATTTACCGGCCAGCGGAACAAATCGTTCAGCCAGATAATGAAGGAAATGAAGATGAAACATTCGTCGAGACTTAGCTCGGTAAGTAAATAAATATGAGTACGTATTGTAACGGATTTCTCGATGGTCCATTTTCCACCAATACATTAAGAAATAGTCATGCTTTGGTAGTCAAGGACCATTTCAATGAATGGCCTGAAGTATACACAATTCCTAATCAAGAGGCTGAACCATTAGTGGATGCATTTATCAACAAGTGGGTAACGAGATTCGGTATTCCAATGTAGCTACGTTCTCGTCAAGAATGGAATCTCGAGACTACTTTAAGTCAAGGGATGCACCAGTAACTGATGGAATTAACTCCAGTAAGAGAAGGACGGCTAAAGAAGTTAACACCAGTCTAGAAGATGAAATGAGAGACATAAAAGCTTTGTGTTTGGTACCGCAAATATGTCTAATCGGGACGATCAGACATAAGTGGAGTATCGCAGTCTAGTTAAATGTGGGAATTTGCCGTCGATTCTATCTTATTCTCGTATCTGTTCATCACAATATATTAATGTTGAGTTCTGGAGTTCGAATAAGAGCATCAAATATATTTGCAAGTAAGTGAATAAAGGAAGTGAATTTAGAATTGAAAATACGAATGTAAATGCTTCTCCAATAAATGAAGATGACAAAATAACGAATTACCAAATTGTTTATCAGTATTAGTTGTGCGAACGAAATCGGGATATAATAATTGGGTGGTGTATACAAAGTTACATCCAAGGCAGACTGAGTTCTTTTATCTGCGACTGTTGTTGTAAAGAAATGAACAACAGTATCCAACGTATATAGATGCATGTGTTGCTCAGAGATTGCTAGAAGATGCCTGCTGCAGCTGCATTAAATTGCGCAGGAACACAAATTCGTATATTATTTGCTATATTACTGATGACATGTTTCCCGATCCGAGCATAAATGTTGTGGGATAATTATAAAGCTTCGATGACTATATATATTGTATCGATGGTTTAACAATTTAACGATGTCATTCAGTGACGCAATGTCACTGCGAATTTACTAATCAGCCATTTTGGTATGAGGTCACCAAATCGGAGTGCATTTGATTTAATCAACACAGATATTAATAAATCGTGAAGCGCAGTATAATAATGTTTAATTGGCAGCGACTGTGACTCTTAAAGTACCACTACAAAATGATGAACAAAAATTAACTTGCGACCGCATTAAGCTGGCAGTTTCGGCAGCGCAAGTAGATTCTTTTGTTTTTTTTTGTTTACGCACGAGGTGGAACTAGAAAAATATCCTTTATTTCGATTTTTTTTATTTATTATTACTTTTTTCTGAGACATCAAAAATGACATCGCATTGGCCGTTACATCATCTCGCATTGCAACAACTTTGTTAGATCAAGGCAGAACAGCTCATTCAACATTTAAGCTGCCTTTCAAAATAACCCATATGCTGTGTGCAACATAACGTCCATAACCAAAGTGCTAAAACAGTATAAAATTATAATTTTTATGTATTATACATCCAAAATGGCATTATTTTCACTTAGGGCATTGAATATGATATTGAAATATATACAAAAAAAAGACGACAGCGCTCAACGTACGCTGATGATATCAATGTTTGCTTAAAATCATCGCGAATGTGGCGTAATGTTGAAAAAATACAATTGACAGTGAGCATGTAGTCCAGTCATTTAAGCTTAAATTAGGTAAGAATCTCGGAATTCAGATACCCAGCTGTAAGTCTGTAAATACTTGTATATTGACACCCTAAAAGTTGTCTCAAAACCTACATATGGTAGGGTGTACGCAACTATTAAATTTCAAGGTCAAAGGTCACAAAAATCGGTGAACCGTTTTCGAGATAGACCACGATTGGTACAGCTAACGCATCCTACTGATTTAGGGCGATATCCATAACACGCAATGCACGCAGTGACTCATGAACCATGTATACAATAGCCAATAACGATAGTGATGACTCATGGGTAGCTGTTTTAAGGTTAAGAACTCGGGTTACGGGTATTTCCGCTAGCTGCTTCTTCTTCTATGTCTTTCAGAGCCTTCCACACCTCCTGATAGCCACCCGAATATATTCCACCATTTAAAGGAACAGTAGCCGCATTGACTGCCTGGCGAAGTTTTCCCAATTTAAACGCTATCGGGTATGCCAAACCATTATCATTTACCAATGTCTCCATTTACACATGTCTCCATCAAATAACGGGATAGCTAACAGGTCCAATTTCAGATCAACCAAATGGACATCCAAAGATATCGTAGGGCAATTGTGCGCTCCGTCAGCGACCTTAGGTTCAACCCTTGACGATACGATTAAGTTTGCTGCATGCCGCAGTATACAGCACCTCTACTGATCCCAAAAGTGCATCATGTGGCAACATCTTGGTGGACGTAGTTTCTCCAACTAGACGATTATGGTTCTCCATGAAGTGCTCAAAATGTGATTCAATCGACTTGAGCTCTTGTTGAAGGTGAAACACATCCCGACCTTCTATGGCATCTTCCGAGACACAAGCATGTACATACAAGTATGTATATGCTTTATTGCTATCACCACCAATGCACGCTAATTGAACCCCGCCATGAAACCACACAACAACAAAATTAAACTATATAATATTTGTCTTCATAGGAGGCACCTGGGTTTTGTACGATTGTGAACGGTTTGCTTAAGACAAACCCATGTGACCAGTATAGTCAGCACAGAGTTAAAATCAGAAAAAAGACTCGTACATACATGTCCTCCGATATTTATAGGAGTTCAACGGAATTTAAAATACCATAACATTAAATATGAACAAACAAATGTAATAACAGAAATGAATGAACGCGCATTAGTGACTACACAGTACCATCTGCAGCTATTTCGGTCACTTGAGAGGTAGTTTGAGTTTCTTCATCTGAACTAATTAGCACCCTACGCCTTTTCCTGGATACATTGATGACATCTTCATTTTCTACAGCAATGAATGATTAACCCATTTATATATTGTAGAAGAATTCACAAAATTATAAGAAGCTGTGTAATTATTTAAATAATTATTTTTCTAATTGAAATTCAAAAGCAGTCAAAATGACTTGCTAGGAAATCTAGTGTTAAAAAGTTGTGAAAGCGTTACCGAAGCAGTTTCGCTGGCAAAACATGTGGATGCCATCTTCGAGACAAATCACCCTAAGAAAATGGAACTCGAACGATAGTCATGTGATGATGCGTTCATCTAATGAGCCATCTTTTTCTAGCTATATTTTCCATTCTGGTGAGGCTTGCGTTTTGACCTTGAGATGGGACGCACTTAATGATCAATTACTCTTTCGCGTCGACCAACGTCAAGGAGGATAGATCCTACTGCATTGTTATTCCTTGTTATTGTAATTGGGAAAATATTCAATCAGCGACTGTGGACTGCGGGTCTATCCTGAGAAACCAGTACCAGACGTTCTTTGCCACTAATGCAGAAGTATCGCTCAAAGCTTCCAGAGCTCAATAAAGTTCGCATCGAACGGTGGATGAGAATGATTCCACGCGAATCCACGGTTTGCGATGCTAGCAGCGGCTATTTACACTGAACACATACGGTTCTGCACGTTTCACACTTTTGACGATACGTACCAAGGTGGCACCACTCAAAGGTGCTATTATACCGAGCCTGGAACTAGCAAAAGCGCTACTTCCTACCGAGATATTCCCAAACGTGCGAAATTCTTTGGGATTAGTTGACGTTCCCTACTATCTGTGGTCGGATTCTCCGATAGTATTGTGTTGGCAGTAGAGGCATCACACCCGCCGAACTATTAATACATCCTCTTTGGTGGCATGAACCTAAGGAGGCAGAGATAATTTATTTGGAGAGTAGTGATGTTCCTCTCAGCAAGGATAAGTAAGAGGTCTTACTCGCCGAAAACCGAAATATGAACAAATTCATTATACTCGTTTCACATCCGTTATAGACTCGTCGTCCAAACGGACACGTTATATTGTTAAACGAATGGTTCAGTAGTATCACTCGATTGTCGCTGACATCTTTGGCAACCGGTGGTCATTGATCAGGAACTGGACGACATATTATAAACT